AAAATAGGTCACTGTGAGGTCCTTAGATGCATCAACTGACAAGACTTGATGATCCTAGTCCTTATAGTGAGCAAAATATCAACATTTTCATAAAATATAATTTTTTGACAACTTTGAACTGACCTTGAAACCGCGCCCTTTGCCCCAGGGCGATTTCCCGTGCAAATTTTAATCCACAACATATCCTAATCCTTTTGTGTAAGTTTGGTGATAAACTACATGGTGCTTCTTGAGAAGATTTTTTAGCAACCAGTACTTTTGGTAAAAATTAAAATGTCTATCCAGATTTATTAACATATTTTATTAGACATTCATATTATGCATTTATTAACAGCAAATTTTTAACCCTTAAGCATCTTATTAGCAAATAAAAAAAAAATTTTCAATTTTTTTTCATTTCCTCTGAAAAAATGCAAAAAAATCGTATAAAATAATTAAAAGCTAATATCGGTCTTTCAATGCTGAAAACATAGTTTAAAAGGGATTTCTTAAAGATCTATTAAATAAAATTTTGGTATGGCATTTTCTCTTAAATGACTTAAAATTGTGGTACTTTTCTAAGACATCGGCACTAAATAACAAGATTAAATATATGTCTTATTAGTTTTAGATCACAATATCAAGAACAAGAGGCCCATGGGCCACAACACTCACCTGAGTACCTTTGGCCCCGCTGTTCTTCACCTGATTTTCCCCCTTGTAATACCTATTGTGGCCCCGCCCTACCCCCAGGGGTCATGATTTGAATAATTTAGAATCTACACAACCCCAGGAGGATACTTAAACTAAAGTTTCAGCTTTTCTGGTCGAATGGTTCTTGGGAGAAGATTCTTCTTATATATTTCAATGAAGACTTGGATTCCCTCTTGTGGCCCCGCTCTACCCCCGGGGTTAATGTTTTGAACAATTTAGAATCTACACAACCCCATGATGCTTCCATGTAAGTTTCAGCTTTTCTGACCCAGGGGTTCTTGAGAAGATTTTTTTAAAGATATTTTCTACATATTTCAATGTTAAACTTGGATTCCCTCTTGTGGCCCCGCCCTACCCCCGGGGGCCATGACTTGTATAATTTAGAATTTACACTACCCCAGGATGCTTCCACATAAGTTTCAGCTTTTCTGGCCAAGTGGTTCTTGAGAAAAAGATTTTTTGATGACCCCACCCTATTTTTGTCTTTTCTGCATTATCTCGCCTTGGAAGGAGGCTTGGCCCTTTATTTTAACAATTTTAAAAAATTTAAGGATGTTTTGTACCAATTTTGGTTAAAATTGGCCCAGTGGTTCTTGAGAAGAAGTTGAAAATGTGAAAAGTTTACAGACGGACGGACGACTGGTGATCAGAAAAGCTCACTTGAGTTGAAAGCTAAAAACAATTCTGCAAAAATCGGAAATGACAGTTTGAAGAAAGATCCTGTCTCTTTATGCGTATATCAAATTCATTCTGTTTGAAGGAGGCAATTTTTCAGAACAATGCGGATTCCCTATTCGAAAAACAGAAAACAAGACTTTTTTTGCTATGTGACTAATTTACACTTTATTTAATGGCAAATTGGAAGTCGATATGCAGTTTCTAAATATTGTTCTACATTGTGCTGTATATACCGTTGTATCTGAACAAATTTAAGACCGTTTTCTGTTACTTATTTTTTTTTCCTTTTAAACTGCTACAACTTTAGGAAAAATAACAAAGAACAGCAGCACCCTCTATAAAGGCAAAAATCAAAATAGATAAGGGTATTAGTATGTCAAATCTTACTGATAACATTTGATTTTGAAAGTTTTTATACAGCGATTGCTACATTACTTTTGGATCAACCCTCGTATAGGTAGTGACTGTTTTTTCGCCAAGCGCCCAGCGTTAGAAGTGAAAGCCATGGTTCTTTCGGAGGAGACCTTAGCCAGAAGTCTCTGACGAGGATGTAGCTCTACTGGTTGTACTTATAAAGGAAGATAAAGTAGACTTGGACTTGAAACTTTGCAACAGTAATAAATAGAATAATGATCCTTGGTTTAGTCTCTTTTTGTGGCAAGATTTATTGCAATCAGACTAAAACTGTAGGAGGAGTAGCTTTTAAAACAATTTTACAGAATTTTCGATTTAAGAAACCAAAGCAGCATCATTCAACAAAATCAAAACACAATAAAGACAATTATGTATCTCAGTGTAGTCTACTTGTATGCCAAATTATACTGAAATCAGACAAAAAGTGTAGGAGGAGTAGCATTTTGAAAGTATTTCAACAAAATTTCTTTTTTTAGTAACCATGACAACGCTGTTCATTGAAACCCAAAACTGGTACAGGGAATTATGTATCTTAGTGTAGAGTATGTGTGCCAAGTTATACTAAAATCAGACGAAAACTGTAGGAGGATTAGCATTTTTAGAGTATTTCAAGGAAATTTCTATTAGTAACCATGGCAACACCCTTCGTCAAAATTAAAAACCGATATTAAGAATTATGTATCTTAGTGTAGGCTACTTGTGTGCCAAGTAATATTGAAATGAGTTCCAAACTGTAGGAGGAAAGGCGTTTTGAAAGTATTTCCAAGAAATCTCTTTTTTTAATAACCATTGCAACATCATTCATTGAAATCAAAAACCAATACACAGAATTATGTATCTTAGTGTAGTCTACTTGTATATTGAAACCAGACCAAATCTGTAGGAGGAGTAGCGTTTTGAATTTTTTTTTACAAAAATGTCTTTTTTTAGTAACCATGGCAACACCGTTCATTGAAATCAAAAACTGATATACAGAATTATGTATCTAAGCATAGCTCACTTGTTTGCCAAGTTATACTGATATCAGACCAAAACTGTAGGAGGAGAAGCATTTTGAAAGTATTTTTCAGAAATCTATATTTTTAGTAACCATACCGACTCCGTTCATTGAAATCAAAAACCGATACACAGAATTATGTATCTTAGTGTAGTCTACTACTGTGCCAAGTTATATTGAAATCATACTAAAACTGTAGCAGAAGTAGCGTTTTGAAAAATTGTTTACAGACGGACAGACAGACAGGCAGACAGACGGACGTACGGACGAAAGACACCTTACTACCGCATAAGCTCTTCTGGTCTCTGACCAGTAGAGCTAAAAACGAGATCCCTTTTCACGGAAGGTGTTTGCACGACAGGAACTCTATCTGCTCAATGGCCCTGCCTGCTAATTATAGGTCTAAATTTGAAGCCCTTCACCAGCATACGGTGACGTCTGTATAGTAGTGAAAAATAAAATTATCCGATGGGATGTAAATCTACAATCTTAGTTTGTTTCTTAAAAAAAAAACTTGATCGTCATTCGGATGAAAATTACAGCCATACAAACGGGTGCATATTTTTTTTACTATTTGATATCCGGCTCGTTTAATTTGAAAGTAAGAAAATCCTTTACTGAAAAAACACAATATCTGTAAAAAGAATTTATTGAGCGTTTTGTTTTGCTTGCAGAAATCATCAAAACGACTATAGACTATAACAAGAGGCCCATGGGCCACAACTCTCATCTGAGTAACTTTGGCCTTGCTGTTTTTCACCTGATCAACCCCCCCCCCTTTGTAGTACTTATTGTGGCCCCGCTCTACCGCCAGTAGTCATGATTTGAACAATTAGAATCTACACTACCCCAGGATACTTCCACATAAGTTTCAGCTTTTCTGGCCCAGTGGTTCTTGAGAAGATGATTTTTAAAGATTTTTTCTGCATATTTCAATGTAAAACTTTGATTCCCTATAATGGCCCCGCCCTACCCCCGAGGGTCATGATTTGAAAATTTAGAATCTACACTACCCCAGGATGCTTCCACATAAGTTACAGCTTTACTGGCCCAGTGGTTCATGAGAAGAAGATTTTTTAATGACCCCACCCAATTTTTGTCTTTTCTTGATTATCTCCCCTTTGAAGGGGATTTGGCCCCTCATTTTAACAATTTACAATCCCCTTTACCTAAGGCTGCTTTGTACCAAGTTTGGTTAAAATTAGTCTAGTGGTTCTTGAAAAAAAATTGAAAATGTGAGAAGTTTCCAGACGGACGGACGGACAACGGGTGATCTGAAAAGCTCACTTGAGCTTTCAGCTCAGGTGAGCTAAAAACAATTTTCCTTCATCAAGCAAGTGTGAATATACGAGTAATGTCGTATTTTTCATGTTTCATTAAATAAACCAACAGTCCAAAAGACGTTAACCAGATGTTGCATTTACACAAAAAATTGTCTTTTATATTAATGTTTATATATATATATATATATATATATATATATATATATATATATATATATATATATATATATATATGTATATGTATATATATATATATAGTTATATATTGGGACTTCAAATAAACTTTATATACATATATTGGGACTTTAAATAGACTTTAAATCAACATGACAAATGACTACAATTCTGTACAACATGATTACGATTAAAAAAGGCATTAAGGAATATTGATTTTAGAGTTTTAAGACATACTTGTACATTGTGTAATTTTACAATTTACATAATTTACTATCATAATCATGTTGTTTGCTTGCTAGATGCCAACGAGCAGGAAGATTTTTACAAGATATGAAGCTTTTTCAACACATGATGTACTCTAGAGAATGAACTTGGGGTGATGAATTTCACAAGGTTGATAAAGGGTCCTTTGCTGATAATCATGCCAAAACTTCAAACTGCTTGATGTCCAGGTGTAACAGAAAAAGTTTTAGATGAATGTATAGAATTCAGAATTTATCATTATAAATTTTGGTTCCAATCCTTAGGCCTTGAAGAGAAAAAAAGGGGGGGTTAGAAATCATAAATCTCAGAATTTAAGTTTAACCTTTGCCATTACATGTTGCAAATCAAAATTGATTGTAATGGGTTCTACCATCCCTGCAAAGAAGCTCGAAATAATCAAATATTAATGGAAACTATGAACGGATAGAATAGGTCGTCCAAGTGCCTCACATGATCTAAAATGCAATATTACCTCAAAGTTAAAAGCAAAATAAAACATTTTACATATCTCTTTTCATTAATACCTCTTGATAACAGTTAAAAATATATTATGATTGATAATATCTTTGATAAAAAGCATATGTAAAATGCAGTGAAAAGCATCATATAGGTTTTCTCCACATCTCGTTCAACGTAAGAATCACATCTGAATGGTCAGCATAGTGCAAAGCATTACAGACTTGTTGCCTATTCAGTACTGGGAAATTATGTTTTATTTTCTTCAGAGCTTGGAAAATCTGTTCCTCAATGTTGCTTGCAAAGTTTAACACTATCTGATCGATAGAACTTTGAGGAAGTCCAAGGAAGCGAATCACATGCACGTATCTTTGAGCAATACTTCTAGATATGTGTCTAAAATCGTCATTACCTACAAAAACATTTGGTCCCTCTATTATTATAGTATGGACAAAAAAGCTCTGAATAGAGAAAGAACGCATCTCCTCTACCAGATCCTGCCTTTCTAACCGTGAGAGCACTTCCATTAATTCCTTCACATGATCCACTTTTGGATATTTGCATTTCCAAGAGTTCATGACTTGAAAGAAGATATCGGGTACATACTTTGTGTTGCAAGAATCGACAACCGTGCTATCTCCCAAGAGCAGTGCACAAAAATATTGGAGGTTTCCAGATGGCAACTTACGTGAAAGATAGTCAAACCAGATTTCAACATCTGCAAAAACAAAAAAAGGTCAAATATACTTACAATAGTAAATCCTCGATTCAAACAAAGTCACAGAACTAACAGACATATAAATGAAATTGATTATCTCTGCACTTTCCTGAAAGCATCGTGTCCTTTATGACATAGTTCATTTCATGAAATAAAATCAGCAACATGGGTATTTTAATTTTGCACAAGAAATATGAAAATCTTTGTAAAGGACAATAATTCAACGTGAACTTTGTTAATGACAGTGAAATAAAAAATGAAGTAAGCAATGCTCTGACGTGTTATTGGAGTGTTAAGATCTTTTATACAAAACTTGGGACTAGACAGACAGATAAGTACAGATATACTAAACACATATCTTACAGGTGCCACAAATACCTAGCTATTAATAAACTTTACCTCTTACTTTTAAAAAGCTTACGGAATGAGAATTTTACTTGATTACAAAATTTTAAAATATACGAGGGTTGTGCGAAAAGTTCGTGGACGATGTCAATCTTCGTTATACTACTTTCAAGAAATTTAAAATAAGTACAATATCATGTGTAAAAATATTTGTTTTGTTGATGCGTGAAGTTTCATCCCATTTGATTTAATAGAAATCAATTTACTTCATTTTAAAATCAACAGGTTTGATAACCCCGGGGCACACTTTACAACATTTCAACGTCAAAAATATAGCGTCACGAGGTTCTCAAAATATTCTCCCTATACATTTCACACAGTCTGGTCCAATATTTGCTCATTAGAAACGTGTCTCTATCGACTGAAATTTAATTTGCTAAAAATTGTTTCATTAGTTTATTTTTGTTTGTCGATGTTTTCTTTTTTACCGCTTAACTATGCTTTCAAAAGATCAGCAAACATGAAGCGTCTTTCTCTTTCCAAGACCTTACTAAATGAACGTTTTTGGTTAGATTTTTACAGATAATCCGTTTCCTCAGAGATCGTCCTCGTCTGAAACAGAGTCTATATCATTAAAATGCCGCCTTGGCAATTTACATACACACATGCATGACTCGCTTTTGAGGTATTTCATGCTTCTTACAACATTTTTAGATTTTATTCTGACGTTTTCCAGAGTGCAGCAGGAAATTGTATCGTAAACTGCAGCTCCGTGACGTCTTACGACGTCACCTTTTTGCCGTTTTCATGGAGGACTACCTATCTTCAGAAATTGATTTCTTTTCAACGAAGCAAACTATTAACTCATAATCTGGAATATGGAACGATGTCACAATTCTTCATTTGATCGTCTAAATTATTTTTTGGTTTTGGGACATTTTACAGAGAATATGACTACAGACATTATTTAGGATATTGTTTGTAAATTACTAAATTGTGACTTGCTCCGGGAACTAATTTCCGCAGTTTTTAACTCCTAATAAGTTTGCAATAAATCAAGATATTCTTAAAAGTTTTAATACAAATCATTTGAATTTATTGTTAAAATATATCTACGAAATTTGGATAACATATGGCCTTAAATAAAAAGGATATGACAGAATGTCTACGAACTTTCCGAACAACCCTCGTAAGAAGAGGAATAAGCAACAACTGTATTTATAAAACTTCAAGATAACTCTTACATATCCAACCACCTGTAAATTGTATCCTTGTATTTACATAAGACAGTAAAACATATTATCTATAATTACTCAATTAAATGTACATTTAAACAAGAAAGAAGAATGATTTTTATAAAATGCCAGCAATTAGTGAATGCAAATATCACCCAGGTTTGACTTTATCTTCAAAACAAACATCAGTTGCTGACAAAGGTGTTAATAAATCTTAAAGTGACTGATAAAAGATAAGTTTCTAAAAATTTTCTGCACCAGGTAAGATAATTATTCCTAGGGGATTAATTGTACTGCTCCCTCATCCTTTTCTTCAAAGTTTACAATAGTAACTTTTTCAGCAATGATAGAATGAGGTTATTATCAGATTACCTGTTAAAATTAACAGTATTTGTGAATAATAAAATCATAACCCATTGTGTATTTTACCAAAATAAAGTATGAACATCATTATTTTAATCCAGAATTCAGAAATTGTATACATCATTCAGCATTGACTTACTGCAAAACAAACTTTATTTGCAGACAGAGGTGTTAATTAATCTCTATGTGATATGTTTTGGATTTTCTTCAAGAGGAAAGTTAGTGAATCATACGGGAATCACTGCAGCTTTCATAGTTTACAAAAGGAACATTTGCAACGGTTATCTCTCTTTGCCCATTTTTCTTTGATAAGGTTAAGAAATCTATCCAACCACCCCAGCTCCAAACCGGATGACAAAGAGAACTAAACTAAGCATCAAAATATGTCTTACTATTCAACCAACATAATTTGAACTTAATTGTTCAACCATAAAAAAAATCATTAGAAAAAAAAACAAAAAATTTGTGGTTGGAAAAATGACAGACAGACGGAAGATATAGTGATTACTATAGGTCATCTGCAAATCCTTGTTGGGCCGTAATAATTAAAATAGTCATACATGTACCATTGACCAGCAAGTCGATTTTAGTCTGCTCTATCGTCATACTTTCTTGGATACAATTCCCATCCTCTTGTCCTGCAGAAAAATAACACACATAAAAAAAAACACTATAATCAATAATCAGAAAATTTTATTTTTTGAATAAAAATGAAGCATGAATTTATCTATATATAATTCATTACCTACTCCACTCAAGACTTCAGAAGTGAGCTCCATGATTCTGTCATCTATTGAAATAAAATAAAAACATATATCTCTTTCATTGCAGTAAATAAAATTTTATACTTTTATTTTTACCCCAGAACAATTAAATGTAAATATGAAATGCTTAAGACTTCAAAATAATTTTATTTCTTGTAAAATTTTTAATGCCAGAAAAAGACCGTTTGTTGGTGCTAAAAGGTCAAATTATTGGTAATGTGAAGCAATTTGAAACTTTTTCTATGGAACGCCTGCAGTGCCTTGTAGCTAAACACTTTCATTACATTGTGTTAACTCGTTATGGTGTTAGAATAAAAGTTATTCATGTGATGTGAAGATATCTTTACGTTATTTCAACTCTTTTTTACGTGAGTTTAAATGTTCATTACGTGTTGTAACGATGTGTTCACGTGATGGCGATTCAGTGCTACATCAAGTCAAAAAGTTTCAACTTTATGCAAAAATTCATTTACTTTATGTCAACATACCTATTACATTATGTTGACTCCTTATCAAATGTTGTCGAAAATTCATGATTGCTTTGAATATACCTATATTGTATCATCTTATCATTACATTATGTGAACTCTTTACTATTTGGTGTAAGTAGTTCATTACATGATGTGAATTTATCTTTACATAAATATCAAGTCTTAATGATATGATGTCAGAATTTCATTACATGATGTGAAAAAAAATGTTCAGATATGGTCAGTTCTAACTACATTATGTCAGCAATATGCTACATGACGGCGGAAATCTATTACGTGATGTGAATTTGCAGTTACGCCTTGGTAAATTATCATTCCGTTATGCCATTTTATCTTTACATCATGTCAAAAGGGCCTAGCCTGTTGTCAGCATATCATATTATTTCAACTTTTTATTGTGTTAAGTGAATATATCTTAATATGATACAGAATTTACTAAATGATGTGTGTTTACAGATCATTACACAGATTACACTCCTTCGTTAGGTTATACCAAAAGTTCATTTTGCAGTGTCAATATTATGTTACACATGCAAAATAAACAAAAATCTAATATAAAATTATTTACATATACTAGACGTATAATTATTCCTCAATTAAACATCAACTTTAAACCTATGTAGAATTGTGTTACTGTGGAATCTTTATTGAGTTTATATAGCCGAAATTCGATGAAGTTTAATATGACAATTTTCGCCCATCAAATGTTACATAAAATTTTGCTTTGTGCAGTACAAAAGTTTTTTTTTTAATTTTTATTTTAAGTTGTTCTTCCGTAAAAGTCTGTTAAATTACTACTAATCTTGCTAGACATTATCCTTAGCTCTTTATTAGCTGTTAACCCCTCGTTTTTGAAGAAGTATAAACACATTGTATCACTTGTGTGTGTACATTCTAAGGCTCGGTCATTTGATTTAGAAAAGGGGCGTGGAAAATTTTGGAAAAGATATTCTAGCCCTGTCCATGGATTGGTTGAATAAAAAGACTGATTCGCACTAATCTATCAGGATCCCGCTCCCAGTCGTGGAAACACGGTCCTCCATGTCGTCCGTACAGGCCCGGATCAACGGTTTCAAAGGAGGGAGGGGGACTTCCCCACACAATCTGACAAGCAAAAACAAGAGGCCCAAGGGCCTTAACGGTCACCTGAGTATAATACAACAATTTAGAAGTTAAATACACTGATAGATGAAGCTTTACTGCCCTAAAGCAAGAGAAGTAGGAAGATCAGGATCAACAAAATAATTAGTCTAGTATTCAGTATCAACTCATAAATTAAGTTCTAATCTGTCCCCCACTTAACACTATCACATGCAGACTATTAACAATCTATTAGTGCTTCTGTACTATTTTTAAACCCATATTAAGACCTCTAGCATTGACCTTTCTTATGGTATATGAAGAACTTTTAATAAGATAAGTTATTTTTGTCTCATTTTTATTTATCTATTACTTACAGATCTACCTGATTATTTAAACTAAGAAAATACTTTTTGAATTATATGATAAACATTCTTGCATAATTATCTTATTCTATTAACCTTTCAAATACATTATTTACAGTGATTTATTATCAAAGGTGAATGGAAAAGGGGAATAACTTCTCTCAGTAGAATACAAATTAATAGAGCCCTGCCCAGGACTAGAATGCTGAGACAAATGGTCCAGATGTTCAAAAATCTGGTAGAAATATGCTTACTTATATCATTTAAACTTTTACTCAGTTTTCTTCCAATATGCCAAGAAGCAGAGAAGAATTTCACAGTTACAATGCATTTTCACTACAGATTCAACAAAGCCTTAACCTATCACCAGAACCCAAGACAAAGGGTCAAGAAATTCACAAATTTGGAAGAGTTACCCTCATCATCATAACTATGCACTTCAAAAAATTAACACTTTTCCACTATATTATCAAAAGCCCCCCCCCCCCCCTCATTATGCCAGAACCCCTGACCCTAGGACCACAAGATTTAAAAATTCTGTTCGAAGCTCCCATTTTCATCATACCTAAGCAATTTATTTATCAGCTCAACGCTAAAGTGCAGACAAGATTAAATAACAGAATTAATGTTTTTTCACTATATAATCAATAGAGCCCCCCCCCTTTCCTCAAGAACCCCAAAAAACTGAGGTCATATACTTAAAAATTTTGGAAGAGGCATCCTTGCCTATCATAATCATGAACTTAGTTTGTTTAAATAATCTCCAGTAGCAGAGAAGAAGATTTTCAAAGAATTAATGCATTTTCACTATATAATCAATAGAGCCCCGTCCTAAGACCAGAACCCCTGACCCTGGGGCCATGAAATTCACAATTTTTGAAAAGGCATCCTTATGCATCATAACCATGAACTTAGTTTGTTTAAATAATCTCCAGTAGCACAGAAGATTTTCAAAGAATCAATGCATTTTCAATATATAATCAATAGAGTCCCGCCCTAGCACCAGAACCCCTGACCCTGGAGCCATGAAATTCACAATTTTTGAAAAGGCATCCTTATGCATCATAACCATGCACTTAGTTTGTTTAAATAATACCCAGGAGCAGAGAAGAAGATTTTCAAAGAATTAATGCATTTTCACTATATAATCAATAGAGCCCCGCCCTAACATCAGAACCCCTGACCCAGGGGCCATGGCTTTCACAATTCTGGAAGAGGCCCACCTCTTCATCATAACTATGTACTTAGTTTATCACCTTAATGCCCAGGAGCAGAGGGGAAGATTTTCAAAGAATTAATGCATTTTCACTATATAGTCGATAGAGCCCCGCCCTAACACCAGAACCCCTGACCCTGGGGTGATGAATTTCACAATTTTGGAAGAGATACTCTTGCTCATCATAACTATGTACTTAGTTACTTTATTCAATACCCAGGAGCAGAAAAGAAGATTTTCAAAGAATTAATGCATTTTCACTAAATAATCAATAGAGCCCCGCCCTAACACCAGAACCCCTGACCCTGGGGCCATGAATTTCACAATTTCGGAAGAGGCATTCTTGCTCTTTATAACTATGTACTTAGTTACTTTATTTAATACCCAAAAGCAGAGAAGAAAATTTTCAAAGAAATAATGCACTTTCACTATATGATCTATATAGCCCCACCCTGGGGCCAGAACCCCTGATCCGGGGGCCATGAATTTCACAATTTTGGAAGAGGCACTGTTACTCATCATAACTATGTACTTAGTTACTTTATTTAATACCCAAAAGCAGAGAAGAAGATTTTCAAAGAATTAATGCATTTTCATTATATAATCAATAGAGCCCCCCCCCCCCCCTAACACCAGAACCTCTGACCTTGGGGCCATGAATTTCACAATTTTGGAAGAGGCACTCTTGCTCTTCATAACTATGTACCTAGTTACTTTATTTAATACCCAGGAGCAGAGAAGAAGATTTTCAAAGAATTAATGCATTTTCATTATATAATCAATAGAGCCCCGCCCTTAGACCAGAACCCCTGACCCTGAGGCCATGAATTTCACAATTTTGGAAGAGGCACTCTTGCTCTTCATAACTATGTACCTAGTTACTTTATTTAATACCCAGGAGCAGAGAAGAAGATTTTCAAAGAAATAATGCACTTTTCAATATATGATCCACCCTGGGGCCAGAACCCCTGACCCTGGGGCCATGAATTTCACAATTTTGGTAGAGGGCTCAATTCTTATTACAATGATGCCAACAGTTTGACTGCTTGATGTCCTGGAGTAAAGAAGAAGGTTTTTAAATATTGCATTATTTTTGGTGGTTTTAGCCCCACCCCTCAGGCCCCAGGGGGGGGGGGGGGGGCAGGGACCATGAAATTCACAATTTTTGTTCCCCTTCACCCATAGATGCTATATGCCAAATTTGGTTGAAATTGGTTAAGCGGTTTCAGAGAAGAAGCTAAAAATGTTCAAATGTTAACACACGACGCACGACGACGGACGAGAACGGATAGCAATAGGTCACCTGAGTGACTCAAGTGACCTAAAAAGCAATCTGACAAGCAAAATACTATAATCAGAAAAAAGCCCCCCCCCTCCCTCCCGGCGTTCTACGGGCCTGCTGTATGCTAGACTGACGCAAGCGTCATCTTTCAACAAAACTGATGGAAAGATAAATTAAATGATAACGCACTACCGGGGGTAAATGTTCAAAATCACGTAATGAGTATTGGCATAATAAAGATGAGTTCACGTTACATATATATAGAAATTTTGGCAAAAGAGATACAGTTTGAAATAATATGAATGTACTTTTACATCACAAATGAACTTTTGGCACCAACATAATAAAGAGTAAACACAATGTAAAGACATTTTTACATCACATCAGAAAGAGTTGAAATAATCTTACTATATATCCACATCATGGAATGGAATTTTGACATCATGTATTAAGTGTTGATATAATATAAAGACATGTTCACATTATATAATTAACTTTTTCGAACCACATAATTAAGTATTGACATAAAGTTAAGATATATTGAGCTCACATCATCATTCTTTGTCACTATTTTTAATGTGTCAATTCAAGATAAAATAAGAGTATATTAAGGTCAATGAATTTATGATGTAAATCTTATACCGCACAAATTTTGATGCACCAGATGCGCATTTCAGCAATTTATGTCTCTTCAGTGATGCTCATGCCGAAACGTTGGAAATTCGAAACATTTTGAATAAAAAAAAAATTGGAGGAGCTGAAAAAAGGGGTGCTAAGGACTGGAGCAAAATACGTCGAAGGATCAGAGCTATGTATGAGGAAGATTATTCTTAATTCTGAAATTTATTTTTAAATTTTAAAAGAGAAGTTAAATATACATCCATATTTTCAAGCTAATACCGAAGTACTTAGCTACTGGGCTGTAGAGACCCCTCGGGGACTAACAGTCCACCACAAAAACATACATGTATAGTTAACTTTTGGTTTACACATTCAATCTTTTCATATGGCCGAATATCAAACTCATGGATAATTACACAATATACATTACACTGAACATTAATAAGCTAATAGCATTACCTGTTATATCGTTAAGTTTATCAGTTGGTTCAAAACGAGGATCTGTCCTCCGTTCCGTCAAATATTTGACTTTCAAATATCCAAAACTTTCAAGGCAATAGAGATATGGATTCACAGCTTTTTTTGTTGACTGGCCATCAATGCATTTCTTGGCAATATCCAAAGGGCGTTGACTTGATGCCAGATCATTTTTGAAGCACTGTATAATTTTTTTCATTATTTCTACAAAAATGATTAAAACAGTAACTTTAAATGATTACTTTGAAGTAAGAGGTCAAGATTATGAACAGTATTTTATCTTGTAAATCCGCAAAAGAGGGTAAAAACACAAGCATCCCTGGAAACACCAGAGGTGGATCAGGTGCTTAAGAGGAATATTAAACCCCTGTCAGAAGGTCACACAGTCCTATATATTGATCGAATTTCAAAATGTGTGCCAACTAAATATGTAAAAAATAAATGAGTCCCTAGCATAGCAAAATATCTATATTTATATTAATCTACACTCCTATTTGAAAAAAGATTCTTCCTAAAGTGAAATAAAATGCTGTGGTTCATATTTCCATTTGTAAAATACAAGGCTTATTAAAGTCTAAGCCATTCAAAAGTAATAACAAGACAACTAAATTTTAATTTCAATTGCTTCCGTATTTCTTAATTATGGCTTTAATAGATTTTTTTTAAAAAGTCTTATATACTTGTATGTAAAAGTCTGATCTTCTATTGTGGCACCGGCCTAACACTGGGGAACATGAATTAAACAAACATGAATCTACACGACCCGAGGGTGTTTCTGTATTACTATGACTAACCATGGCTCTACTGTACTTGCAAAGAAGATTTTTTGGTTCTCCCTATATAAATTCCTAGGTAAAACTTTGATCGCACATTGTGGCCCCGCCCTACCCCGGGGTCTTGATTTGAAGAAACTTGAGTCTACACTAACTGAGAATGCTTCTGTATTAATATGACTAATCATGGCTTTGCAGTTCTTGAGAAGATGATTTTAAATGATTTTTCCTATGTATCCCTGTAAACCTTCATCGCCCATCGTAGCCTCATCCTACCCCTGGGGTCATGATTTGAACAAAACTGAATGTACACTTTGTCAGAAAGCTTTCGCATAAGTTTCACTTTTTCTAGCCCAGTGGCCTCTTGAGAACGAATCTGAGTTTGCATTACATAAAAAAAGATTCTAAGTAAAGTTTGTCTTCACTGGTATCATATGTTTAAAGAGAAGATTTTTGATTGACTCCAACCTACTTCCTCTAATTTTTTTTTTTTTTTTTTTACCTTCTGTGAAAATGTGAAGCAATACATACAAGAAAATATTTATTTATATTCCCTTTATTAAAAAATCCACTTACGCAAGTTTATTTGAAATCTGTCAAATGGTTCAGGAAGAGAAATCATTTTACGTTAAAGAGTTTATGGATGGCATGTGACATAAAACTCACTCTGACACGGTTAACATACAGAGATACCCAAGTAGTTCTTAGGATTTTAATTAAGAAATAATTCACTTGACATTCATTCTTTCACCTCCACTTTAATTTTGAACTTCAAGATAAACAAAAACATAGAATGCACGTTTGTTTACAACACTTAAATACAAATACTTGCAAGAGCTCTCTTTGCAAAACTAAAATTGAATTGCAAATGAACTCAATAGCTAGACTATACAGTTCATGATTGTGCAAGCTCAATTAATTTTAGAATGAAATATATACGAGGGTTGTTAGAAAAGTTCGCTGGCAAATTTTACCGAGAGTGTGGTATTTCCATGAAACCAGTAATCTCTGAAGATAAAAACTATACGTATTTTCCAATAAATAGGTACAGATTTGATTTTTATTCTGTATATCCTATAAAAATATACAGCTTTATTATCAAGGTTAAAACATGATTCACGGAGCATGTCATTTATACGCGCGTTTACATTACACAGACATTTTTGAAATTAAAAACTGCACTATTTTAGCGTATAAGGATATATGATATTTCATAAATATTTATGAAACGTCATTTGACAAAATTATGAATTAAATTGGAGGGGCTATGACTGTTTTATCGCTAATAATAGATGATAAAAGCGTAAAAAGAAGCCCATGGGCCACATTGCTCACCTGAGTACTTTGGCTAGGAAAAAATAGAAATTAGTGCAGTATCTTGAGAAAAGTCGAAAATATAAAAAGTTTACAGACAGACAGACGGTCTACAGACAAAATGTGATTAGAAAAGCTCTCTTTCATCTCTGGTGAGCTACAAACAAACCAGGAATGGCATCTCATTGAATATCTTGGAGCACCGAGATATTTAAAACGTATATGCGCAGATTAGGAATAAAGTGTTCAAAAGATAGTAGCTTTGTAAGAATGGAAGGATTGACATTTTTGACGATCAACTCCTGTGATATCCCAAAACCCCACATATCGCATGGCTATGGATTTTGAACTGTTTCCATACCTGATAGCTTAACTGCTTTAACATTAATGTTAAGATTTCGCTAATATCAGACATGGCACAAAAAATATTTTAGAAAAGAAGTATCATGTCTTGCTACAGCTATTTCGTTTTTAACTAAGAAAAAAGACATAAAAAGTCTACAGAAATGAAAGGTATTTAAAACCGTGATAGAGTCTGACAGGTTTGGAATTAAGTTGTCGCGTCTCCTAACGTCGAAAAAAAGTCAAGTGATTGCATCGTGAATCCTATGCCTGCACAGTAAAAATCATTGTATATTTTCAAAATATTAGTAAATGAACCTGATTTTTTCCATACTATTAAATAAAAGATAAGAATTCAATCAGACATACCTCAATCTTCGAAGTATACAATATCAATGTGCTCGGGACCTTTTCGGGCAACCCTCGTACATGGATTACCAAAAAATGCCCCCCCCCCCAAAAAAAAAGATTAAAAATCATTAGAATTAGTTGAAATATGTGATAACAGGAGTTACATGGGCCACATTGCTCACTTATAAACCTGGTCCTGCTATTCTTGATATACACATGAAATAGACTGACCGAATATTCCGGCTCCACCCTATAGGGTTATGTATAACTTGAACCCAGGTCAGATTGATATTCTTCCATATCAATTTTATAAACAGGGTTTTCTGTTATGGTTAAAATATTCTTTCTGTTAATTTTAGTTGAAATTGGCTGAGTGGTTCTGCGAAAGAAGATTAAACTGTGAAATCAGAAAACTGACGAATTTCGATCAGAAAAGCTCACTTGGGCCTTCAGCTCAGCTGAAAAGAAGGTCCTATGGTTTGTGTTTTGGTATAAATTATAGCCAACTCTTGTGTTTTCTATCCCCTTATCAAAGTCACTCACTCAACTAGGTAGATTAAAATCATATCCAAACCACACCACCTATCTACTTTTTTATTATGATTTTACGAGGTATTCTGTATTTTGACAGTAGGATATTGTTGCAAGTAAGATGATGGTTAAAATCAATATTATGTAATAAGTTTCCCTTGGCTTTGGATAAACCTTTAATGAATTTATTCCATGCAAGAAAGCTCTCGCAGTGTTAGTTTTTCTGGCTCAGTTGTTCTTGAGAATATTCAAAAATCTTTAATTTTTCATGATTCTCCTCAAATGGGAGGGAGAATGTCTCTTTCTTGAACAAACATCTTTACCTTAAGATACCCTGTGTAAAGTTCTTTAGGTACTCGAAGACAAAATTCTGAACAAGAGGCCTAAGGGCAACAACACTCAATTGACTTAGACCTGTCGTTCTTCACAATATTCTTAAAAGATATTTTCCTATATGTTCACATGTTTATACTAATTGTTAGGACATTATTTACACACTGAATTAATTGTCGACGGACTTTTAAAAATGGGTAGCAACTGTTCCTTCGCCATGCGCTCAGCATTTTGAAGTGAAAGTTGTGGGTTCCTCGGATGAGACCTTAAAAACAGAGGCCACATGTCACGGCAGACGTTGGCACGATAAAGATCCCTCACTGCTCAATGGCCCTGAGTGCCGAGTAAAGGTCAAAATTTGAAGCCCTTCACCGGTATATGGTGACGTCTCTATATGAGTGAAAAATTCTCGAATGGGACGTAAAACAAAATGCAATTTATCAATCAATCAATCAATCGACTGACTTTTTCGCTATTTCCCGATCATGACAAGAAGCACACTCAGGGTATGACCGGTCGGCAGGGGATGCTCACTCCTCCATAGCATCTGATCCCATCTCTGATATTTTTTGAGGTCCGTGTTTGCTCTTCTCCCGATTTGTATTGTTTTAATGGACTTTGAGCTTGAATACTGTTTTCTTCATATTTCCTGTTACCGTTCAAGGTAGCTCAGTCGGTAGAGCGCTCGCTCCGTGATCGGGAGGTCGTGAGTTCGAATCTCGGCCGCGACTGACCTAAATCGATAAAAAAAAAAACAGAAGTCTCCGATGAGACTGTAGCTCTACTGGTCTGAAAAAGTAGCACTTGGATTTGAAACTTTGCAACATGCAACAATAATTAGAATTATGTATCTTAATGTAGTTTACTTGTGTGCAAAGTTATATTGAAATCAAATAGAAACTGTAGGAGGAGTAGCCTTTTAAAAGAATTTCACAGAAATTTAATTTTAGTAACCATGGCAACACCATTCACCGAAATCAAAAACTGATGCACTGAATAAGGTATTTTAGTGTAGTCTACTTGTGTGCCAAGTTATATTGAAATCAGACCAAAACTGTAGGAGGAGGAGCGTTTTAAAAGAATTTCAAAGAAATTTCTATTTTTAGTAACCATGGCAACACCGTTCATCAAAATCAAAAACCAATGAACTAAATTATGCATCTTAATGTAGTCTACTTGTGTGCCAAGTTATATTTAAATCAGATCAAAACTGTAGGAGGAGTAGCGTTTTAAAGGTATTTCACAGAAATTTTTATTTTTAGTAACCATGGCAACACCGTTCATCGAAATCAGAAACTGATATATAGAATTATATATCTTAGTGTAGTGTACTTGTGTGCCAAGTTATATTGAAATCAGACCAAAACTGTAGGAGGAGTAGCATTTTAAAAGTATTTCACTGAAATTTCTATCTTTAGTAACCATGGCAACACCGTTCACCGAAATCAAAAACCGTTGAACATAATTATGTATCTTAGTGTAGTCTACTTGTGTGCCAAGTTATATTACAAGAGGCCCAAGGGCCTTAACGGTCACCTGAGTACAACAATTTAGAGGATC